GGCACGGGTTTCTTCCCTTGGCTTCCGACCACGGCTTGCCCTTATTTCCTGCTCTACCTGCTGCACAACATCCCTCTCATCCTGTAGCTCTTGCGCCCCTTGTTGACTAAGTGATCCTCCTTGCTGTAGTCATGTTTTCCTAGCTCTCCGGCGCTTGCTTAGTACTTCATTTGCCTGTCGTAGGTTTTGGTTCTCTCCCTTTAGCAGTGCTAATTGATGCATTATTTGCGATGCACCCTTTGTAAACTGGTCAACAGCTGCATAGATTGAGGTTGGAGAGCTATTTTGATGGCGTGAAATCCAAGTTTTAATAAATGTAGACTGTGACATAGCTTCAATTGGGTTGTTTGGTGTCTGAGAAACCCAAGGTTGAGCAGTACCTGGGCGGGAGCTTGGAGGCGTTGGTGTCCTTAACTTAAGATCAAGTGTAGATATCACTCTCTCAGGGTCAAATGGAAGAAGCCCTGCCCCTCGGAACCCGACTCGAATGTTACTTTCCGTCATTGTAGTGTTAAATGCAGCGTGGAAGGCAGGAAAGAAGTCATCCTTTGTAATATGAGAAATATGAGCCTGCATCATATCTTCAATTTGCCGACCATAGGCCTGCTTTAACGGGCCGAAACAGCCAACATCAAGTGGCTGGAGTAGATGAGAAGAGTGAGCAGGCATACAAAGCGTAATAATGTTGTGTTCCTTGCAGTACTCCTCAAACTCATCTGAGTGGTGGCTCTCATGACCATCAAGGACTAACAAGCGATAACCACCAACACTCTGGGCCTTTGTATGCTTCTCAAAGTGCTGAATCCAATCCATGCCTCTCTCGTTTGTAGTCCAGCCATTTTCAGTAACAGAAATCACCCAATCGCTTGAAAATCCACTATTCTCATACCAAGATGTAAGGTGGTTTTTGCCTGCAACAATGATAAATGGTGGTACTGCCCAACCTTGAGAACTAACGCCTTGGATTACTGTAACCCATTCCCGATTACCAGGCTGTACCTTCTTTGCTTTTGCCCGCCCGTCTGAGCTTGTTACAACCATAGCAGTTGAGATAACGCCCATCATAAACCCAGTCTCATCAAAGTTGTAGATATCTGCTTCATCGATACCATATTTCGCAATTGTGTTACACACAAGCTCAAACCAGCCATTAATAACTTCTGGATCTTCGCACTTAGCCCTCTGGTAGTCGTATTTGCGCTGAAAGCGTGTCTGGAGCTCTACACGCCGCTTAACAAAGTTTGAAGCCCAACGCGACCCAACGCGTGACGCGTCGCGTGTTGCAAGTAGTCGACTTGCCATATCTTCAACAACAGACAGCCGAGGAGGAAACCCTTTGGCAGCTAGGTCGAGTATATACTGAACAAGGACGGACTCCTCTAGGTTAGTTAATTTCCGTGAGTTGGCTTGGATATCGCGTCGTGAAGGTACACCTTCTAGACGACGACCTAGCTTGCGGTGGTCCACAGAATAGATCCTAGCAGCAACTCAAAGGCGTAACTTTGGGTCGCTTTGCATAGCCTGGATAGCTAGCACTAATTGGCTTTCATCGTTTTTATGGGGCATGTTTTGTTGTTGAGGAATTTAACATTTAGTTGGGGGGTTTGGTCACCGCATCATTTTGGCGCTTTCGCTTGTTTGGCGCTTTCGCTATACATGTACGTTAGTTATAGTTAATTTAATATGTTATGGTTGATTTATTGATATTCAAAGTAGAATGCCAATGAAAAGTCTCCGAGATACTGATATGTCCGACGTACTGATAAACCACGTTACCTTTGAATATTTTCAAATATTTTAAAGTTATTTAAAGTTTCCTTTAATACTTGAAATAAATATTTCCCTATATGATTTTCTTGTAAATCAACCATATCTAATAACTTTGATTTTAAAACAAAGCTCCTAGTAATCCAATGTCTATTAAATATTAGTACAGATTAAATATAATAAAGAATAACTTACACTGTAATTCCTAAGTACTGTGTTTGATTACTTGCTGTCTATGCATCTAAAGTAAGAGAAATATTTCCTTTATTTGCAATATGATCTTCAAATTCTAGCATTAAAGCTTCTTTAGATAACGTGCATGTATAACGAAAGTGCCAAACAAGCGAAAGTGCCAAAATATCGCGACTACCCCATAAGAATTGCGATAAATCCACCACAACAATATAAATTAATTAAAACTACTCAGAGTCCTCTTCCTCAGACCTGTCTATTACAATCTGACAAGTGCGCGCATTGTGTCCAGTCTCACCACACTTGCCACAGCGACGTGCATGTGTCATACTGACATTCGTTGCACTCAGTTTGCTATCAAACTCAAGAGCAAACTTAGAAATCTCCTCCTCAAACCTACAAGTCACCATACATATCTTGGCTTATCACACCAACAACAGAAGCAATACTACTCAACGATTGCTGCAAACTCTTCTACTACATCTGTTTATGCTACATACATCACAGCATATCATTTGGACACTCATTGAACAAGTTATTAAGAAAATCTCCTCCTTAAGGGGGTGGGCCAATACTACCACATGGCATATCTCTACCAACTAGAGGCTAGGAACATGAACGATAGCTCTAGAAGCTTCTACAACCCTCTATGATTCATTACACGTCATCGCTCCTTAGTTACCCACAAGATTGGTTAAGTTATGACATAATTTATCTATAGGTACTCTGACCTTGGACCTCCTTTTCACTTCCTATAGGCTAGGAACCCAAGAGATGGTTCTATGGGATTCTCTTACGTTCACTACATGATTAGCAAGCTAGTTGTGGGTCGCACTTGATTTCTAATACATTTACCAAGCCTGGTTAGTCATGGAAAGTCATGGAAAATGAGAGAACTACACTCCTTTGGCATAAATAGGATTGCCCTTTCCTTAAGAAAGGGCAAGCAGGCAATACAGTAAATCGACTATCACATACTTCCACGTCTTTTCCAAGCTTCCAAGCATTCATCTTGTTACTCCTTGTTTCTGAAAAGTCAGTGAGGTGTTAACCTCTGACTTACCCCTGAGTTCCCAGACTCAACATTTGTTGCAACTTGTCTGAACCACTTCACTACATCACACACCTGATTGCTGCGTTGTGGAATAGTCTAAGCTACAACCCTTTGGCTCTGTTTCCTAAGACAGTGTGTTGTCTTAGTAAAATCATCCCTTCCTTGGGTGGCTAGATTCTCACATCTGGTGCACCCACCATTACAGCATGGGTTTCTTCCCTTGGCTTCCAACCACTACTTGCCCTTATTTCTTGCTCTACTTGCTGCACAACGTCCCTCTCGTCCTGTAGCTCCTGTGCTACCTGTTGACTAAGTGATCCTCCTTGCTGTAGTCATGTTTTTTTAGCTCTCCGGCGCTTGCTTAGCACTTCATTTGCCTGTCACAGGTTTTGGTTCTCTGCTTTTAACAATGCTAATTGATGCATTATTTGCGATGCACCCTTTGTAAACTGGTCAACAGCTGCATAGATTGAGGTTGGAGAGCTATTTTGATGATGTGCAATTCAGTTTTTAATGAAAGTAGACTGTGATACAGCTTCAGTTGGGTTATTTGGTGTCTGAGAAACCCATGGTTGAGCGGTGTTTGGGCGAGAGGTTGGAGGTGTTGGAGTCTTAAACCTAAGGTCAAGTGTAGATATTACACTCTCAGGGCTAAATGGAAGAAGCCCAGCACCTCGGAACCCTCCCTGAATATTGCTTTCTGTCATTGCAATGTTAAATGCAGCGTGGAAGGCAGGAAAGAAGTCATCCTTAGTAATGTGAATAATATGAGCCCGCATCATATCTTCAATTTGCTGACTGTAAGCTCTCTTTAATGGACCAAAACAGCCAACATCAAGTGGTTGGAGTATATGGGAAGAGTGAGCAGGCATACAAAGCATAATAATGTTGTGTTCTTTGCAGTACTCCTCAAACTTGTCTGAGTGGTGGCTCTCATGACCATCAAGGACTAACAAGCGATAACCACCAACACTCCGGGGCTTTGTGTGCTTCTCAAAATGCTGAATCCAATCCATACCTCTCTCGTTTGTAGTCCAGCCATTTGCAGTAACAGCGATTACCCAATCTGCTGGAAATCCGCTATTCTCATACCAAGATGCAAGGTGGTTTTTACCTGCCACAATGACAAATGGCGGCACTGCCCAACCTTGAGAACTAACGCCTTGGATTACTGTAACCCATTCCCGATTGCCAGGCTGCACCTTTTTTGCCTTTGCCCATCTGAGCTCGTTACTACCGTTGCGCTTGAGATGACGCCCATCATAAACCCAGTCTCATCAAAGTTGTAGATATCTGCATTGTTGATGCCATACTTTAGAATTGTGCTCCATACAAGCTCAAACCAGCCACGAATGACTTCTGGATCTTCGCACTTAGCCCTCTGGTAGTCATATTTTCGCTGGAAGCGTGTCCGGAGCTCTACATGGCGCTTAACAAAGTTTGAAGCCCAATGTGGCCCGACGCGTGGCGCGTCGCGTGTTGCAAGTAGTCGATTTGCCATATCTTCAACAATAGACAACTGAGGAGGGAACCCTTTAGCAGCTAAGTCAAGTATATACTGAACAAGAACTGATTCCTCTAGGTTACTTAATTTCCGTAAGTTGGCTTGGATATCGCGTCGTGAAGGTACGCCTTGTAAACGGTGACGTAGCTTGCGGTGGTCTACGGAATAGATCCTAGCTGCAACTCGAAGGCGCAAATTTGGGTCGCTTTGCATAGCTTGGATAGCTAGCACTAATTTGCTTTCATCATTTTTATGGCGCATGTTTTGTTGTGGAGGAATTTAACATTTAGTTGGGGGGGTTGGTCACCGCATGATTTTGGCACTTTCGCTTGTTTGGCACTTTCGTTATACATGCACGTTACATACTCTACTTGTACTATTGATCTACCCACGGAAGTTGTTCCCCCCATTGACTGCAATACACTGCTCCAACTTGTCCTTAAACGAAGCACATAATTGTGTAGATTTCCCATCCATTTTTTCCCCCCATTTGTTACGGCTACAGTAACATGATGTCATGGTTACAGGGCCAGGGCCTAGTAACGTGACGTGTGAGTCACAGGGGGCAAGCGGGGTAGGCTGCCATGTGACAGGGCTAATGGATAACGTAAGTCGTGGCGTAACCGGGAGAATGGCGTAAACGGGATAGTGGGGGAAGACCGACCACGAAGAAAGCGAAAAGTAGAGTATTATTACTTTAGTATTCAACTATAATGCAGCCATATACTTCTTCTGGGTTCTCATCCTCCTCGACATTCTCGGTTTGGTCAGGTACAGTGATATTTGTCGCTGTACTCTTGCCTTTGGTAGTCGCTTTCTGGGTGGCCTCCTCGGCCTCAATGACTTGGGAGCGTAATTCCTCTGTAGTTATGTGGAATTGGCCCTTTAAAATTGCGCGTTTCCCTTTGCTCTGTGCTCTCCGTGCAAATTGGTCCAGCTCCCTGCCATTGTACCCAAACGTGAAGTTCGCGGGGGATGATCGATCCTTGGGAACCGATCAGGTTGGCCTTTCGCTCTCTGGGTTCGCTGCGATCCTTCGCTCTTACGGCTCACTGTCGAACACCGAGTCCGACTATGAATCCACGATATAAATCCGCATGGAGAAAAGAAGAAAGCCATTGAAAGGAGTCAATAACACGTCTCTGCGTATAGTATCTTTCTCTCCGCATAATAGTATGGAATATCTTCACGTTTGTGTAGCATCTTCATAGACAGAGTCACGGACAAATTACTCCATATTACGCGCACGCCTTCACCAGGTCCACCACGTTCATCACGTACTACGACATCATGCACCGACAGGCATCGGATCGGATTTAGCAGTTTCCCATGTAAGACGGCAGAGGTGCCGCGACCTTGCATGAGCAAAGATTACCAACGTGGTACAGACTCATACTACAGTACTACTTCTACTACTGTATCACTGATCGTACAATATATCCCCTTTTTAACCCCCGCGCAATAACCAGTAATACACTTCCCTACTACCCACACCCCTCTACCTCTTAACATCGTCGGCACCGCTCGCCGCCTCACCAAACTTAACTTTCCCGTCCTTACCGACGCTGGCAACGTGGAAGCCCGTAAGCGCATCCACCTTTGTCAGCGGCGCCACCTCCGCCTCAACCAGCGGCTCCCTCGCCAACGTCACCGCATCCTGCACCGACCCAGCCGGACTATCCGCCACTTCATTGACATCCCTCGTCGTCATTACATCGCTAATCCGCGACGCTCTCGACGACAACAGTAGCGTCGTTGGGCCATGAAACTGCAAAAACAGCCGGTCGCCCCAGATAGTCCGGCGCGCTGACGTCCTCAGCGTGTACGCGAGGTTCGCCACCGTGCGCCACGTCTTCGTCTCGAACATGACGCGGAAGAACTTGACGCTCTGTAGAAGGCGGATAAATCCGAGGTTGGGGACCTGAAAGCGGAAGTTGGAGGACTTGAAGCGGTAGGGTAGCGGCGGGTGCTCGCTCATGGTGTATGCCACTACGTTACCGGGATGCGCGACGTATTCCTCCCCTGCTTTGAGCGTGACTTGATAGATCTGGCCTGAGCCGGAGAAGGCAACGAGGCCGCGGCCGCGGATCTGTGAATTGCCCCAGTGCGCGATGGTCATTGACGTGTTTAACCGGGGCGTGACGGAGAGGGTGTGGCCGGTCCATGCGAGAAGCGCGTTCCGCTGTATAACCATCCAGTCGACGGTGCCATTGAGGTGCACGACGACGAGTGATGTGATTGGTGATTTCGTAGAGATGAGGGCTGTGATCGGGCTAGTCGATGTAATGCGCTGGTAAAGAAATGGGATGCCTAGTGCGGCTCGTCGAAACGGCTCTAGGAGGGAGAGGGTCGATTGTGCCTTTGATCGTTAGCTTTGCTATGCAACCGCTGCATGTTTACATGTACATTTTCAACCTTCCCACTGACGCCAACTAAAGTGCCCCGCCTTGTGTATAGACGTTGCGATGCTGATAATGAAACCGAGAGAAGGGAATATGGCGCGCCAATAACCTCAAAGCGCGCATCTGTCTGTAGTTAGTAATAATAGGACGCGAATATTCGAGTGCATCCCACCTGCTGTGCTTGACAACTCGCCCGGGCTGCTGAACGGGTCTTCGCCAGTAATTGGCGTCTCTGACGTCGGAGCCGCAGTGATCTGGATCGCTCGGCGCTGGATATGAGGGACAAGGCGGCGGGCTGGTCGGCAGTGTCCCGCAGCTCCTGTTAGTGATGTATGCCCGCGCATACTGATGTCAAATGCTGCGTCGCAATTCGGTTGGATGCTCGTGCTCGCCAACTTTCGCCCACTTTTGGGAATGGTCGGGTCGGGTTGCCAGGTAGGCGGTGGGAGGCGGCAATAATTGGAAGCTCCGTCACCCCGTCAACCACGTACTGGTGTTTGCCCCTTCCCCTTCGTGCTTTCACCGCTACTTACATCAATTGCGTCAACGACAACTCACCCAATTCTTTGATACTCGGCAACCAGCAGCACGGGGAGGGAGGTTCTTTTTCATCTTTTTAATTTAGACGACACTTTTTTACTGTCCTTACTGCATTGCGAAGGCTGCCTATATTGATAATGTCTGTGCGTGTTGTTGCCAGGATACGGCCCACCCTGAGCAAGGAGCTCGAGAAGGATACGATTGTGCGAGCGGAAGCCAGCGAGGATGGGAAGCCGATGAACATTGTTCGCATACCGAACCCGAGGAACGAGGCCGAGGAGTTCAGCTTCGCGTTCAATGGCGTCTACGACCAGAGCACGAGCCAGGAGGAGCTCTTCACGAACGAAGGTAGGTCCTTGACGGATGAATTTGCCCTATGACCGGTTTTTTAACCGCAGACAGTTTCTCCACATCTCAAAGCCCTATTTCAGGGACTCGATGTCACGATCTTCGCATACGGAGTTACGGGGACAGGGAAGACGCACACAATGCGTGGTGGCTTGAAGCTCTCGGAGCGTGGTGTCATCCCCAGGTTGCTCAGCGGCATTTATAGACGTGGGCGAAAGGTGGTCAAGGATTCCGGGGGTGAGACGTCGGTATCTGTGTCGCTGTCGTACTACGAAATCTATAATGACAAGGTCTTCGACCTTCTGGAGTCGCCAGATAAGCGCCTGCCGGCTGGATTGCCATTGCGCGAAAAGGATGGGAAGACAATCGTGGTTGGCCTGTCAGAGCGTGAATGCAATGACTTGAAGGACTTCGAGGGTTTATATATTGAGGCGAACAACAATCGCAGTACAGCTGGCACGAAACTAAACGCGCAGAGTTCGCGTAGCCATGCTATCTTGATGGTGAAGGTTATTCAGACAACGGACGACGAATTGAGGATAAGCACTGCTTCAGCCATTGACTTGGCTGGATCAGAGGATAACCGCCGCACTGAAAACGGGAAGGAGAGGATGGTGGAGTCTGCTAGCATCAACAAGAGCTTGTTCGTCCTGAGCCAGTGCATTGATGCAATTAGCAGAGGGGACAAGAGAGTCCCGTACAGGGAGTCGAAGATGACTAGGATCTTGTCGCTAGGGCAGAACAGTGGCATAACTATTATGGTACTGAATCTGGCCCCGCTTCGAAGCTATCATCTCGATACGCTGAGCAGCTTGAACGTTAGTTCCAGGGCCAAGAGGATCGAGGTCCGCGAGATTGAGAATGAAGTGGTTTTCAAGCAACATCCGAAATCGATGTCCAGTCTCTCAGGATCGACGATCAATCGACAGCCATTGCGCCCTCTGGCAAATGCACACAATACGAACATAGCGCCAGCTGCTGCTACCACGAAGGCAGGAGACAAACCGATGAAGGCTTTCTCAGTTTACTCGGACCGTACCAAGCCTACAAAGCCAGCTACGACTGTCATACGGACGAACTCGAAGCGCTTGTCAGACAGCGCCCGTCCTTCGAGAACCACGCGCCCAGCTTTATCCAGTCGAGCACCTGCTCCTGAGCTGTCGGCCGCCAAAATTGAAGAGATGGTCGAGCGCAAGGTTTCCGAAATCCTAGCCTCGCGCGCTGCGCAGACGGCGCCTGCGCCCATCCCCGCTGCGGTGAGTGATGAGGTGCAGCGTCGCCTGGACGCGCTGGAGCGCAAGATCGAGGAGAGTAATGGGGCAGCAGAGGATGCACGGAATGAGGGGCTAAGGTTCCTGTTGATGGCGAAGCAGCATAAAGAGCATGGGCAGGATAGCAGCGCGTTGAAGATGTACGAGATGGCATTGCCGTATTTCCCTGGCCAGGTTAAGCTGGAGAGGAAGATTGAGGCACTACGTGCGAGAATCAGGACGAAGAAGGAAGAGGAGCAGCATCATGTGATGGCACAGAAGCACCAGAGTCTACCTACGAGCGGACATTTGGCCACGAGACCTATTCAGCAACTTCCCACTCCAGCGCCATCTTTCGAGGCTGTCTCCGAGGCGCCAGCGTCGAAGAAGCGGAAGATGAACGACGATGATGATTTCAGCGGCTCTATCGTTGCCGATGAAGACTCCTACGACGACGATGACAGCCACAAGCCTCTTAAGACCCGCAAGCCCAAAGCTTCAAAGCCCTTCGTCTTCACCTTTGGTGACGAAGCGGCGGCCCTTACGCCACGCAAGCGCTTCATCCTCGATGCAGTGAACTCCCGTGACATTGGGCAGATTAAGGGGCTCAATGGGATCGGGGCGAAGAAGGCAAGGGATCTACTTGAGTTTTTAGACTTGCAGGCTGAGGAAGAGGGGGGGAAAATCGAGAGTCTGGGGCAGCTGGTTGGGGTGCCCGGGATGGGGGGAAAGACGGTGGAGAGGATGTATGAGGGCGTTGCTGTTGGTGTTTGAAAGGGGTGTTGTGTATACCCGGTGCGTGGTTTGGGGATGATTGTTCCCATGCGTGCCTGTCTTTCGAGCCGTTTGGATTAGAAGGCGTTTGCATTTGCATGTGCTGGGAGTTATTGGAAGGGGCGGGGTTTATCTTGGGGGGGTTCTTGTCTGGTTAGACATGTTTGGATTCTAGGCCTTTCAATTGAGGATTTGGCTCTTGTGATTCTCATTTCTCTTATCTCTCCTCCTCCCGTCGCGTGTCTCTACCGATCTGTGTCATCCCGATCCCGCCATACCAATCAATCACCAATCCCAACGGCTATGTTTTCTCCCATTCGACCCCCGCTCCCACACCCAAACGCCGGAACTGACGTCACTCCCTCCCACCAAACACATTTCAATATCGTCTTATCGTAACGTAGTCCAGAAGTGCGCGGTCCACCCAAGTGCGCGGTCCACGCCAATTAACACCGAATGGTCTTCAACACGATTTCACAACCACAACGCGGTATATTAATTAAAACTACTCTGAATACTCGTGCCTAAAGATTCTATTTCGACTTGACAAGTGCGCGCATTATGCCTAGGCTTCCCACATATGCCACAGCGCCGTTGTTGCGGCTGGCGACAACCTAGACCACCCCCATTTCCATGCATTTCTTGTTGTACTTGTTGCGCAACATCCCTCTGGTCCTGTAGATCTCCTGCATCTTGTATATTAAGTGATCCTCTAAGCTAGACACGAGTTTTTTTGGCCCTTCGACGTTTGCTAATGATGGTGTTTGCCTCTCGTAGTTCAGTAACCTCAGCTTGCAAGAGGGCCATCCGATGCATAATACCATGCGCCCCCTTTGAGAACTGGTCAATGGCATTATAAATTGATGTTAGGGGGCTATTCTGATGCTTAGCAATCCGAGATTTAATAAATTCAGACTGCGAAGTAGCCTCGATTGGGTTGTTTGGTGCCCTAGAAGCCCAAGGGAGGGACTCTCGTGTAGGTGGCCGAGAGGGTGTTGGCGTGTGTAATTTCACATCTAACTTTGAAACCACGATGTCTAGGCTTAAAGGAACAAGCCCGGCTGCCTTAAATCCTACCCGAACGTTGCTTTCAGTCATACTCTTCTTAAATGCCTCAAGAAAAGCTAGGAGGAAGTCCTCTTTTGTAATATGTGAAATCCGAGCTTGCATAAGACCTTCAATTTGCGCACTACATGCCTTTTTTTAGGGGCCTAAAACATGCGACATCTAATGGCTAGAGGATGTAGTTCTTACTAACGCGTAACACGTCATGGTCGCATAATAATCGATTTGCCATATCTTCCACAGCACTTAACCTAGGAGGAAATGCTTAAGAATCTAGTTTAAGACCCCTCTGAACTATCGTATATTCTTCTAGTTTCGTAAGCTTTTGTGCTTTAGGTTGAATATTGTGTATTGATTGCTGGCTATAGAGACGTGCTCGGAGCGTTGTATAGGAGACATTATACATGGCTACCGCGCGTCAAATGCTAAGTTTAGGTGTATTTTAGATAGCCTAGATAGCTAAGACTAATTGAGCTGCTTTTTGAGTAGAAGCCATTTGAATTGGTGATGTGGTGAAGTTAAGAAGTGAAGAAGCATTCAGTGTTAATTAGCGTGGACCACGCACTTGGGTGGACCGCCCACTTGTAAACTACGGTATATATCGTTCAACTGAATATCACATAATCCACCTATGTAAGGTACTGTAACGATGTACGGTCACGCTTGCGCTACATCCTAGCTCGGTGGAATCTGATAACACGCTATATATACAACGCACTGTAACGGTTGGCACCCCATTACAGGTACTCTAAATACGGCTATTTACATCTAGGGCCTCTAACTCCTGCTCTAGTCATTCAATTGCTCTCAAATGAGCTGTTTTTACATCATCTCAACCCTTCGTAAACTCAATTACCACTTGTAGAGCCTAAATAGCCTCTTGTATTAACCGTTTCAGCCTGTTAGGCTAGGCCTCTTCTTCCTCATCTTCATCAATTATCTATAAGCTAAGATGCTCTGTTACATCCTGTAAGACCTCCTTAGGATCCACTGATTTTTGTTCACTCTCTGCCTCTAACTCTTGTTCCTTAACTAGATTTAGGAATCTCGAAATTGCTATAATATCTTGTATATTCCTAGCTCTTTTAACTTGTTTATAAAGACTTGTGGTATTCAGAGAATCAATTGCAATAGGAAGTGATATAGTAGTTGTAACTAGAGTTGACTTCTAGAAACAGTTGTAGATTGTTGTATTTAAGAATTAGTTATTCCAACTACTTAGAATCTAACGAATAGCTAGGTGTAAATCCATTAAGTCCCTAGGGTCCTAGTTATTGTTATAACACTTGAGCATATATAAGAGCCACTGTCACCTATAATGAGACCTGAAGCTTTGTATAATTCCTTAATCTAAAGGTTGAAATCAACTCATTGAGTTCTTTAGAAGCTAACAGATTCGTATATTAGGATGAGGTGGTGTAAATTTGACAGCTATAAGGTGTGTAGAGAAGTTATCCATTGTTAAAAGGACTGTACGAGTTGTTCTAATGTGATTATAGAAGGCTTAAAAGCCATTTAGACATCATAGTTGTATTCATCTAGGCCATCTTATTCCACCTCTACTCTCCCATTGTAGAAACACTTGCATTTCATAGTGCTCTTGGTGTTTTGATCTTTCTAATGATCCATACACGTAATCTATCACTCCTAGTTGCATTTGTAGCAAAATTAAGAGACAGGCAATCCTTGTCCTTCTTCAAACTAGGTTGTAGTTGTGTAGCAAGTCCATGAGAAGGTGTCATCTTCTAATAGAGTGTAGCCTCATATATATTATATATATCCTCATCGTTGTATTTACTAGCAATTGTACATAGGCCTTTCATTTCGTCTTCTATAGTCTTAGGAACAGAGCTAAGCTTTCTGTATTAACAATAATCCTAAATATGACGTTAAAGACTTGGTTAAAAATATCATACTAATGGGGTGTTTTTAGTTGATCAACCTCAACTAATGGCTCATTATTAAGCAGTGTAGACAACGCTTGCTAGGGATTAAAAGGAAACAAGCTAGTGCCATGGTATGCTAACTCAATGTTCTTATGGTTGTATACATCAAGCCATGCCTAGATGTATGCCTCTATCCATTTATACTTCTGTATACGTGCAAGTTTCGCTTGGTTAAGTAGGGAGAGCGCTGCTATTAGGTGCTTTTTTAGCAGGCCAAATATCGCAACATCCAGTGGCTGTAGCAAATGTGATGTATAAGGTGGCAGTATTAGTAATACAATGTGGTTCTTCATATAATGCACAATGAAACTCCTGCTAATGTGTAAGTCGTGGCCATTACATATGAGAAGCTAGTGCTAACTGTCTGCTTTTATGCATGTCGTTGACTCAAAGGCTTTCCAAGTAACACGTTACAGTATTGTAAAGAATACTATATTGAGTTGAGCACGAAGCTCCTATCTAAGGAAATACTATCTACTTATATAGTGGTGTCGTGCCTCATGGGTAATCTGGATAGTTGGCGGATAGCTAGATATTCAGGATAGTTCGTGGATAGCTCAACTATCCAATATCCACTAGTTTCTGCAACTAACGTAAGTCGTGGCGTAACCGGGAGAATGGCGTAAACGGGATAGTGGGGAATATTGAGCATCAAGAGTATCACCAAACCAATGTAAACCCCCAACATGGTGCGAAAGCGTAGTCAGAAAGCTGAAGAACTAGAAGTTTTATTGGCACAAGCTGTTGCTGGAGTTAAATCCGGATTATACAAATCTTCGTACAGTGCTGCAAAGGCTTTACACCTTCAGCCAGACACAGTCCTTCAACGCGTTAATGGGAAACTGTCACGGAGAGAAGCTCGACAACAACAACAACTGCTATCGCCAGCGCAAGAGCAGACACTTTTAAAGTGGATTAAGGTGCTAACAATTAGTGGATATGCTCCTAGTCACCGTATATTGTGGGATATTGCTGACGAAATCCGTGTCAACTGATGCCGCGTTTTCGAACTGTCGCACCCTAACAGTCAACATGCCCAACACACTCATCACGAAGAGATTCCGAACTTTCCCCTTGGACAAGACTGGGTCCCACGGTTTATAAAACGACATCCGCATTTACAAATCCAACTAGGCAGACGGGTCGAAGCACAAAGAATGAGTGGAGTTACAAAATATGTGTTAACGGGGTGGTTTGACGCGTACAAGGACCTTGTGGCGCGTCTAGGAATACAAGAACACAACGTGTATAACATGGATGAAACTGGATTTTCGATTGGCACTATGGAGTGTACTCGGATCATCGTTGATTCTACACTCCGTACATGTCACCAGGCACACCAAGGCCAGCAGGAATGGGTGTCTGCTGTTGAATGCATCTGTATGGATGGAACGACCATTAACCCTCTTATTATATTCAAGGGTCGGAACGTGTTACAAAACTGGATCCCTCCTGAGGTTATCGATAAATGGCACTTCTCTGCTAATACAAAGGGTTGGACAAGCAACTTACATGGCATCGAGTGGTTAAAACGCGTGTTTGAACCAGCAACGCATGCGAAAGCGACATCTAATGGAGCACAACAACAACGGTTACTCATATGCGATGGCCACGACAGTCATATAAGTGGAGGCTTTATATCCCATTGTATGCAAAATTGAATATCTATCCTTGTCCTCCCACCGCACACTTCCCATGTGTTGCAACCACTCGATGTTGCAGTCTTCGGACCATTGAAAAAACATCTCACAAGTGCGCTCTCACATTTGAATGAAGCGCAACTTACACGCATACAAAAAGCAGAATGGTTATCTGCATACATCAAAGTGAGAGCAATTGCGCTATCTACTCATAATATTACATCTGCGTGGAGGGGTGCTGGTCTACAACCTTTCCAACCTCAACGGGTGATCCGGATGGTGACGCTCCAACAGACAGATGTGACAGATGATCGACCAAAAACACCAACTGAGTATGATATTTTTGACAATGTCTTTCAGAACAGTAGTCCACCCGACTGTTCTACATTGCGCAAAGCGAACACTGTCCTGGTTGCGGCCTTAGAGACGCGTACAGTCCTAAACACACCCACTACTCGATATATCCGTCGGTTGGCTGATGAGACTGAGCGACTTAATACACGCAACTTCTTACACCAACGCGAGGCAGATAACCTACGATCGATAATACAAACGGACTTTTTATGTTGATGAGGGGGGTCTGAAATCTCCTGGAACCCCCCTTCTACCGATTCTAGAGTTGGACCTGGAATACATAGATGAACTGCAAGAGGTGAGCTACTGACAAATCCACTCTTAAAGCTAAACTATAATGCTGACGTGACTCAAACCCGTGGAGATTCCATGGAGGATCGGTCAAGCTCGGAGTTTCCGTGTCAAGCACGCATAAGCACATAGCACATGCGAAGTATATATAGTCATCGCGAACGACATCATCTAAGCCTCATCACCTAATCCTCAACTTCTTTGCCTTGCTTCAACATCGGAGCCGCATCGCTTGCTCTAACCCGACGGCATAGCAGACGAACTTGTGCCTCAAGCAGCAATGGCAACACCTTCGACTCCATCGTCGTCCATGAAGAAAAACGACAAGGCCATCGAGGCTGGGGACCTTGGGCCAGTACATAATGGGGCTGTCACCGGCACCGATGCCGTCGCACGGGTTCAGTCTAGGAGCGGACCCATCGACACAGACGCTGTGATAATTCATTCGAACGCAGACATCGAGAAGAATGCGCGTGCCCCATCACACAACCCTCTGCCACCCGGAGCCCCCAATCCCGCAAACTTCCCTGATGGCGGCCGCGCTGCGTGGCTCGTCGTCCTCGGCGCGTGGTGCGCTACTTGCTGCACAACGTCCCTCTCGTCCTGTAGCTCCTGTGCTACCTGTTGACTAAGTGATCCTCCTTGCTGTAGTCATGTTTTTTTAGCTCTCCGGCGCTTGCTTAGCACTTCATTTGCCTGTCACAGGTTTTGGTTCTCTGCTTTTAACAATGCTAATTGATGCATTATTTGCGATGCACCCTTTGTAAACTGGTCAACAGCTGCATAGATTGAGGTTGGAGAGCTATTTTGATGATGTGCAATTCAGTTTTTAATGAAAGTAGACTGTGATACAGCTTCAGTTGGGTTATTTGGTGTCTGAGAAACCCATGGTTGAGCGGTGTTTGGGCGAGAGGTTGGAGGTGTTGGAGTCTTAAACCTAAGGTCAAGTGTAGATATTACACTCTCAGGGCTAAATGGAAGAAGCCCAGCACCTCGGAACCCTCCCTGAATATTGCTTTCTGTCATTGCAATGTTAAATGCAGCGTGGAAGGCAGGAAAGAAGTCATCCTTAGTAATGTGAATAATATGAGCCCGCATCATATCTTCAATTTGCTGACTGTAAGCTCTCTTTAATGGACCAAAACAGCCAACATCAAGTGGTTGGAGTATATGGGAAGAGTGAGCAGGCATACAAAGCATAATAATGTTGTGTTCTTTGCAGTACTCCTCAAACTTGTCTGAGTGGTGGCTCTCATGACCATCAAGGACTAACAAGCGATAACCACCAACACTCCGGGGCTTTGTGTGCTTCTCAAAATGCTGAATCCAATCCATACCTCTCTCGTTTGTAGTCCAGCCATTTGCAGTAACAGCGATTACCCAATCTGCTGGAAATCCGCTATTCTCATACCAAGATGCAAGGTGGTTTTTACCTGCCACAATGACAAATGGCGGCACTGCCCAACCTTGAGAACTAACGCCTTGGATTACTGTAACCCATTCCCGATTGCCAGGCTGCACCTTTTTTGCCTTTGCCCATCTGAGCTCGTTACTACCGTTGCGCTTGAGATGACGCCCATCATAAACCCAGTCTCATCAAAGTTGTAGATATCTGCATTGTTGATGCCATACTTTAGAATTGTGCTCCATACAAGCTCAAACCAGCCACGAATGACTTCTGGATCTTCGCACTTAGCCCTCTGGTAGTCATATTTTCGCTGGAAGCGTGTCCGGAGCTCTACATGGCGCTTAACAAAGTTTGAAGCCCAATGTGGCCCGACGCGTGGCGCGTCGCGTGTTGCAAGTAGTCGATTTGCCATATCTTCAACAATAGACAACTGAGGAGGGAACCCTTTAGCAGCTAAGTCAAGTATATACTGAACAAGAACTGATTCCTCTAGGTTACTTAATTTCCGTAAGTTGGCTTGGATATCGCGTCGTGAAGGTACGCCTTGTAAACGGTGACGTAGCTTGCGGTGGTCTACGGAATAGATCCTAGCTGCAACTCGAAGGCGCAAATTTGGGTCGCTTTGCATAGCTTGGATAGCTAGCACTAATTTGCTTTCATCATTTTTATGGCGCATGTTTTGTTGTGGAGGAATTTAACATTTAGTTGGGGGGGTTGGTCACCGCATGATTTTGGCACTTTCACTTGTTTGGCACTTTCGTTATACATGCACGTTATATTATAATATATATATAAAGAGTCTATAATGCGTTGTCTAGATAGACTTGGAATTTGGTCATCTCTATAAAATAGTTAGTATAATGTATAATATTAACATTAACATAAAGAGTTACTTACCCCTTTGTGTAATGGTGGGTGCACCAGATGTGAGAATCTAGCCACCCAAGGAAGGGATGATTTTACTAAGACAACACACTGTCTTAGGAAGCAGAGCCAAAGGGTCGTAGCTTAGACTATTCCACAATGCAGCAATCAGGTGTATGATGTAGTGGAGTTGTTTAGACAAGTTGTAACAAATGTTGAGTCTGAGAACTCAGGGATAAGTCAGAGGTTAGCACCTCACTGACTTTTCAGAAACAAGGAGTAACAAGATCAATGCTTGGAAGCTTGGAAAAGACGTGGAAGTATGTGATAGTCGATTTACTGTATTGTCTGCTTGCCCTTTCTTAAGGAAAGGGCAATCCTATTTATGCTAAAGGAGTGTAGTTCTCTCATTTTCCAAGACTTTCCATGACTAACCAGGCTTGGTAACTGTAGTCGACGTAAGAGAATCCCATAGAACCATCTCCTAGGTTCCTAGCCTATAGGAAGTGAAAGGAGGTCCAAGGTCATAGTACCCCTATAGACAAATTATGTCATAACTTAACCAATCTTGTGGGTAACTAAGGAGCGATGACATGTAATGAATCATAGAGGGTTGTAGAAGCTTTTGGGGCTATCGTTCATGTTCCTAGGCCTCTAGTTGATAGAGATATGTCATGTGTAGTATTAGCCCAGTAACTAAGGAGTGATGTCATGTAATGAATCATAGAGGGTTGTAGAGATATGCTATGTGGTCATATCGGCCCAGTAACTAAGGAGCAATGATGTGTAATGAATCATAGAGGGTTGTAGGAATCGTTGAGTAGTATTGCTCTTGTTGTTGGTGTGACAAGCCAAAATATGTATAGTGACTTATAGGTTTGAGGAGGAGATTTCTAAGTTTGCTCTTGAGTTTGATAGCAAACTGAGTGCAACGAATGTCAGTATGACACTTTGTATATACTAGTAGATTGCCCTAGTTTTTGATTTCTCTATAGGTGGCTAATAAAAGCTAATAAAAATTAATAAACTATAAAAAGAGAATACTTACTTGCAGAATTTTTGAGAACACTTAACAGTAAGTGTCCCTAGGTTGATTTTTAATAATTGGATTTAACTCTCTAGTAAAAGGTCTTGCTCTAAAGATATAAGGCTGATTTTCCATTAGAATTTGAAATTCAGGGGTATTTTGATGTAATAAAGACATTTTTAAATAAAAGTATAGTAACGTATTTCACAAGCGAGTTGGCCACCCAAGCAAGTTGGCCACCAAAACACCAAAATTGACTATTACTGCCTACTACTACACCACCACCCTACATAATGACCCTTATTCGATCGTAATTGAATCCTTGTGCCTCGTACATGTACGGGAGTTATGGCCCATAATACCACATATGCCACAGCGCTTCTGTCGGCCTGTAGAACCCACCTGCCGACAATGCTCACTTGCCACCTCCGTACGGACTTGAGCTTCTACCTCAGCACTCTGAAGCATATCCTCTCCCTCTCGTACGGAGAGACTGCCCCCTTGCATTATACGCCTCTTGCGCTTCCTTTCCCTCCTCTTTTTCTGTTCATTTGCCGCTTGTAGAGCCTTAACTTCTGCCTTAAGTAGAACAGCAGAATGCATCATCATTTCCGCCCCTTTAACAAGGCAGCTAACAGCATCATTAATTGAGGTAGGAGAGCTATTCTGATGTCGTACGATGCGGTTCTTAATGTGCTCTGTTTGAAAGTTAAGCTCCCTTATAGTTTGAGGAGTCTTTGAAGTCCAATTGTCACTCTCAACTATAGGAGGTGTTGGAGTCCTTAAGCGTAGATTTAAGTGAGAGAGGACACTCTGTGGCTCGTACGGAACTAGTCCTGTAGCTCGGAATCCGCTCTTGATGTTCTGCTCTGTAAACGTAGCTTTGAATGCTTCTTTGAATGCAGAGAGGAACTCAAGCTTTGTGATGTGGTTTAGCCGGTTCCGTACGAAGGTTTCAATCTGCTTTCCGTACGAAAGCTTTAGTGGCGCAAAGCAGCTCACATCAAGAGGCTGAAGAATGTGTGATGAGTGTGGTGGCATACAGAGGGTAATTATCTTCCGTTCTGTGCAGTAGTGTTGAAATTGAGCAGAGATGTGGCTCTCATGTCCATCAAGAATAAGAAGGCGATAGGTTCCGACCGTACGAGCATTTGTATGTCGATTGAAGTGTTGAATCCACTCATACCCAATTGAATTTGAAGTCCACCCATTCTCACTAAGCGTAATCACCCAATTGTCTGGTAATCCTGAGTCTTCGTACCAAGCTGAGAGGTGATTCTGCGCCTTGAAAATAATGAACGGCGGGAGTGCCCATCCGTACGAATTAACACCTTGGATAATTGACACCCACTCTCTATTCCCTGGCTGTATAGTCTTCGGACGGCTCTTTGCTTCTGAGCTTGTGACTACCTTTGCAGTAGCAATAACTCCCATTGCGAAACCTGCTTCATCAAAGTTGTAGATGTCCTGCTCTAAGATGCCATATTTTGCGACTGTGTTTCGTACGAGGGTGAACCACCCTTCAATTATCTTTGGATCTTCGCATTTTGCTCGTTTGTAATCGTACTTCCGACTAAACTTTGCTTTAAGTTCCGTACGACGCGTTATGAAGTTACTAGTCCAGTTCTTCCCAGTAGGGCTCTCACCTCGTTCGGAGAGTAGTAGGTCTGCCATTTCTTGCACAGCTTGCGGCCGGGGCGGAAATCCACGCGAATCTAGGTCGAGAATATACTGAACAAGAGCTGACTCTTCGTACGAAGTTAGGTTTTGTGATTTTGGGGTAGAATCACGTCGGGAGGTCATTCCATTCATTCTGTTGGTAAGGGTACTACGTGACACGTCGTATGATAATGCAGCAGCTCGGACACTCTTAAATTGACGTTCCTTTAGTGCCTGAATAGCTAATAGTATTCTACCCTCTTGATTTGAGGATTGGGCTTGTGTTGGTTGTGGCATAGTTGACTGTAGTCAAGTTGACGCGTTTTGGTGTTTTGGTGGCCAACTTGCTTGGGTGGCCAACTCGCTTGTGAAATACGTTAGTAATTTATCTTATCTTATCTTATCTTATTACAACTTAGTCCTAAATAGGTTTATTTTTCTACTCGAGTTGGTGAGTTTGAGTTTGAGTACAGGTCTAAACTCAACTCAATGAGTTGAGTATGGTTTCAAACTCATGAGTCTACTCGAATTGCTAACCCTGTTCATACACACACACAAACCAAAGTTATACCACTCCAATTTCATTTATTCTCCTTCCTCCCCTTCTATCACGCTTCCCACCATCCAACTCATTTCCTCCTCATCCCTCCTACGCCAGTAGTCTCTTATTTCTCTCTCCTCGTCTTCATATTCATCGTCATCATCTTCCACCCACTCCCAGCCCTCCCAGAATGAGGCCCAGATTATCCAAGCCAGGACCTTCATGGAGAGTGCGGCGAGGATGATAAGCTGGAGGAAGTCCGTCCAGGGGCCCGTTGACTGCCAGCGCAGGACGATGCATATCGAGAGCCCGATGGTGACGAGAGCGAGGACGGGATGGGTCATTGCTCTTCTGAAGTTGTAGGTAGCAGGATGTGGTCAACGATGCGTGCTGAGATCCGGAAGCGTTGTGTTGTAGCGGGTCAATGTCGGTGCTGTGAGCGACAAAATGGCGGTGGACTTGCTTTTGTGACCCTCTGAAGTAGATGAACTTGTTTATTCTGACGACGTATTTAACAGACAGCGGGCCAGGTATTGTTAGTACAGAAGTATCGAGGTGCAACCAATACATTTTTTCCAGAAGACCCATGAGTGAAGATCGATGGAATTCCGACATCTCGAAAACTAAGACAAAGACTGATTCATTTGATAGTACTCTTTGAAGTCGGGCGCATGTTAGCTTTTCTGACGCTCCTGGTATATACATAGAAAATATCAACAAGGCCCCGAGCCTACTTTTAGAATGAGAGTGGACAAGAATATTCCAGCAAATCTAGCAGTTTCTTAAACTGTCTCATCAGCCGCCCCAGCATTCTGCCCTTCTGAAATTTCGGGTGCAGCTTCGTCATTATTCGTTTCATCCATCTCTATCGTATCTTCTTCCTGGGCATCATCTCCCCCTTCATCCTCGCCTTCTTTTTCGTTCTCTAGCTTCTGTTTCTTTCTACCTTTCCTCAATACTGCCTCCTTCCTCTTTGGAATCGCCTTCAAGAATGCCTCCCCCCAGTCCCCCGTTTCCAGCCAATTCGCCATGATCTCAACCACATGGTTCGTTGTTAGTACTGTGCGGCTTTGCATCTGCATATACTCTCCAATGGGTAGCTTCGCTGTCGGGATGCCGAGCTCGTTGGCCCGCCTGTGGCAGAGCCCTTTGTGGCGGTTCTTATCCACAATGCCGCCGATGACATAGATGGTGTATGGCGAGAGTGAATTGAGGGTGTGCTCGGAGTCGGAAGAGAGGTACACAATTTGAGGAGCAGTTGGAATTGGGATATCGGGAATCTGGGGTGTCAATACTGGTTCGGAAGGGATTGATGACCCGGGGCCATTCGCGGCCTGAGGAGGCTGGGCTGTAGTTTGCTTTTCTGGTTCAGAGGCTGGCTCGTTTGGTTGCTGGATTTCTTCGCTCGTTCCTGGCTCTTGAGCCGTCGTCACCGGGATGTTATCGGTTGGGAGTAAAGCGTCTAGCAACGCGCCCTTTACCCTCCCCCCCTTGGGCCCAATCATAACATCATGGGCATCTTTTCCTGCCTCGACAAAAAACTTCTCCGAAAATGTAACGCCCTTCCAACCTAAATGGTGGTTCGACAGCACCGTCTCGTATCTTTCTTTTAGTCGCCCGCCAAAGCTGCTAACAACCAAGTGCGCCCGGTATTTCGCATGCTTATTGTCGCTGTAGCACCTCGTAATCTGCTGACCCAAGCTCATAACCTCCTTAACCGTCATATAGCTATCGAAATCGCAATCCAATAGTAGCGTTACGGGAACTTGTGTTGATGGTGTCGGACGTGGTTTCGCCAGGGCGGCTAGGTCTATGCCACTGGCGAGCAATGCAGCCTTATCTTCTGCTCGTTGAGCCCTCTTCGCAGTTATCTTGGACTTCTTCTGTTCCTTTCGATAGTCTTTGCCGGCTTCCCACACGGCCTTCCTACGAAGCTTCTTCAATTGGTTCTTGGACATAGAGGGGGTCCCCGAGTCGCCCGCAAGACCACCGGCTGTTCTATTTTGGCTAGCGTCTTGTTCTTGTTCTTCATGTTCTGAGTCTGAGGATATGACGCTTTCGGTTTTCCGTTTCTCAATGGTTTGTTGTGGGGCTTTTAAATCATTGTCAATGTGACCTTGCCCATCCGTCTGGGAGTTACTGATATCGTTGAGGGGTTCGAGCTTCCTCATTTTTAAAGGACGCTCTTCCGTTTCCGCCATCCTGATTGTTATGCGCCACTCTGAGTTCGCCGGTGCAGTTACTGAAAGTTACATGGGACAGCACCTTGTGCGTCCTGACATGCTCTCGAAATCAATGGCAGAAAACCCCACCATCGCTGTATAGGGCTTAGTCTCAGCCCTGGAAAAGGCACAGCTATGTGTGCCTTAGGTTGCAAATATATCACGTGATCACCCGACAACTCACCGCTTTCACCTCACCTGGACGCTCATCACGCGTGAACCACCAACGAGCTGCCAAACCACCCATCACGATGCCTCAAGACCTTCCTCCAGTTGGTGGCTACAATGCCGTCCAGTACAAGGTATATATTCTCAGTCAATCGGATGTTCGGCTGTCTCTGTACTGTGCTAACGGCGGAACAGCGCAACTTGCCGGCCAGAGGCTTCCGCCCAGCATATCTGCTTCTCGGAATGGGGGCATTGATGACATACGGCTTCTGGAGAGTTGGACAGGGAATCAGAGAACAAAAGTATGTCGATTACCAACATGCGATAGGACGGGGAGCTGGAATGTGGTTTTGGGGATGGAGTGCTAACGGGTGCTTCCAGTGAGCTTGCACGAGAGAAGATGTGGTCGAGAATCTACCTGATTCCGATGTTGACGGCAGAGGAGGACAGAGATCTTGTGCGTAGGCATTTGGCCGACCAGAACAGAGAGAAGAAGCTGCTGGGCAAGACTACGAGCGCATACAATTCCGATAGGTACGATCATCTCGAGTTTGAGCCTCCTCTTCACCTCTAGCTGACATCTATTGCAGATTTATGCGACCTACATTCGCAGCGACACCTCAGGGGATTTCGAAATAAAGGGATGGATGAATGGCGTGGGCACCTGAACTCTGTATATATGTAATGGAACCAATTGAGTTGCCACCAAGAGTGCATATCGAAATTTATTTATGAAGCCTTGGTTGACAATATATCGAACTTATATAACCATACCCCCCCACTACAGCCCACAATGAACAGAATCAAGCTTCGCGCAGTTGCTGGAATTGTGAAAGCTTTACGACTTGGGGGTTGACACTTGATTCATGTTTTGGCACCAGTTTCCATGAGCCACACATGCTAGCATAGATTTGAACGCAAGGAGGGGAGGTTTGAGGAAGTCTGTGGCCTGTTCTTCGAGCGAATATGTCGTATCTATACATTCGGCGGTAATTTTTAATTTGTTACCTCCATGGCTTTGGGCTTTCGATGTTATATTAAAAAGAAGCTCAGACTGCAGGTAAAATCACAAGGGCGGCTACCATATCACTTCACGCTACTGAACCGTGGCGACTATCGATAGTAAACCCAGAAATCTTAAAAAGGTGTTTTAAGATTCCGATAATTGAGTGAGCCCCTCAAGTATTTTGTATGCGTGGGGTTGCTGTCGCCGGTGAGTGAGCGGAACGGTTAAGTGGGTACACACAGACAGGCCTGTCATATCTGCGGTATGGGAAAGAGGAGTTTCGCTGGTCTACCATAGGGCCGCGAATAGAACGCAATTGACGAAGACATTGGCCAAAGGAGGGATGATAGCCGGAGTACTCGCGCCTCTTGCTTCGCATACTTTGCGATATGGAGCCACCCGCGACACTCCCGTCACCGGACTCCCTTCTCGTTGCCGCTTTGTCCCCACCGCCTCCTTTTCTCACCATCGCCCACCATCCCTTCCTCGCGTCCTCCAGAGGAGATGAAACACTCTATTGCGCCTACCCCTCTCTGCAACTAGATTGGATGCCAAAAAGGCCTGATCACAGGCTAGGATATTAACAGAAGCCGTAAGTGCAATGTCTGTTTGTAGCTGATGTAGCCACTAAGTTTTTGCTCACTGATCAGAGCCTCTTCTCTCGTAGCCGTAGCAACTATATCAGGCAAATGCTGACTTGGCACTAGGATATGGAACAAGAGAAGAGCTAAGGTGCATTGGGGACGGAGAAATAGCCAGATTTTTTTTTGGAGGAAATATAAAGAGAGAAGCACTTGATTATCACTTCCAGAAACTCTCGTCGTGGTCTGCGAGAGGAGATAACAGGAAATCTCTCCGAGAAACATTGGTCGTAGAACAAAGCACCGAACAGCCACAAACACATCAATTATAGATCTATATGAAAATGAGAAAACCAGAGAAAAATATAATAAACTATCTGCCACTATTTTGGTCTAGCCCAATTTCTGTTTTGGTGTAGTAACCCCGAATTGGGTTTGTATAAAGTTGTGGAGCGGACCCCTGTACCTGAAGCAAACATGACAAACACTCCACCAAAAATCTCTCGAACCTCGTCCAATTCGGAAGACGCTCACGACGTCAAATCTACGTCTCGCACCCTCGGCCTTCGCAACCGCTCTTCAGCCCTCGCAGTCAATACAGACCACGACCGGCCTGGACCGCGCTCAAAGCGCCGAAACCCAACTATGTCGGCCCCCCAATCGCGCGTTATAAATGCCGTCGTGCTCACGGCAGGCCTCATGGAGAAGACCGTCAAGGTCCGCATCGGGGGTCAGAAGTGGAACAAGCATGTCCGGAAGGTAAATATCCCCTTATGTCGCTCGCCTTCAGCTCGTCCCGCCCGGCTATGTCGTATTCAAGGAGCCTTTGGCGCAAAGAATACCAATGCTGACAGTAAGCTTTAGTACTTCAACCACCCCCAAACGTTTTTGGTCCACGACCCACGCTCCTCCTTGCGCGCAGGCGACATTATCGAGATCAGCTCCGGATGGCGTGTAAGCAAGAATGTGCGCCACGTCGTAAACCGCATCATAGCCCCCTTTGGCGAACCCATCGAGGCGCGACCGTCAGTGATGACCGAGGTGGAGCGACTGGAGGAGAGGAGGCTGAAGAAGGAGGCGAAAGAATTGAGGAGAGCGAAGATTGGCACAGAAGAAAAGATCGAGAAGAGTGCGTAGGGCATTGGAGAGAAGCTACCTGCTCGGGGATAGTTTTGATGATGGGAGGGTTTGGGCATTTCTGGGGCGTTTTGCGACTCTTGAGGCTGTGATATAGATTTGAGGACATGGAGAGACTGTAAAATATGTACTAAGTAACCATGTGTATTATATAGTCGTGCATTCGCATATCAATACTGCGCATCCTACTATACTCTACGGATACCACAGTGCTCTGTTGCCCCATTGGTGATGCCGCCTAGAACGCCCCCTGTCCTCACACCAAGAATACCAGGCCCTTATAATAATGCATCAGCCGCCCCTCTCACCAAATTCCTTCGCCCACGCCTCATACTCCATGAGGCCCTGCTGACTTACGCTAGGTCTAATGTTCACCAGACTTGCCATGAAGTCTTCAAACTGGATTGGCCGGATTTGGTCCATGGGCATGTGAAGGAGCGCTTCACCAAGCGAACGGAGAGGACCCATAGCAGCGTCCTTAGCCAGGGCCGTGATATCTGAGCCAGAGAAGCCTTAAATAGTTAGCAAAGTACTATGGGTGTTTGGAGTATATTATATTAAAATGCTTACCTTCAGTAATCATGACCAGCTTCTGGATATCCTCCACACTCAAATTGTGCTTCTGGTGACCTAGGAGGTTTGCCAACTGTACGGCCCTAGTATCGCCCTCCGGCAGTGGAATGTATTGTCTCCTTACAAACCGTCTCCGCGCGGCATCGTCAATTAGCCAGGGCATATTGGTCGCAGCTAAGACAAGCACTCGAGTGGGATCACCCGCCTCCTTCTCTTTATCAGTCTGTTCTCGGCCAGCAGCAGCGCGTTGGAGGTCACTCCACTGGATGAGGAACTCCGTCTTGATCCGTCTCGTGGCCTCATGTTCGCCAGAACCGGCACGGCTAGAAAGCAGAGAGTCAATCTCATCGACGAATATAATACTAGGTGCGAGAGATTTTGCCAGCGCGAAAAGGGCCCGAACAAGTTTCTCTGATTCGCCCAAATATTTGCTTGTGAGACTGCTCGCCGAGATCGAGAAGAATGTGGACCTGGATTCCGTTGCCACGGCTCTGGCAAGCATGGTCTTGCCTGTTCCCGGTGGACCAAAGAGGAGCATACCCCTAGCTGGTTCTCGGAGACCCATAAAAAGATCTGGCCGTAGGAATGGATACACTACAGCTTCCTTTAAGGCATTTTTTGCTGCATCTAATCCGGCCACATCGTCCCAGTGAACCTCATCGCCCTTCACAACAATTTCATTGAAGATTTGTTTGGCGGCAAGCTCATCGCAGCCTTTGGGCAGATGCTTCATCATATACTTGACTTTCGTTGCCCAGTCATCTTTATCCTGCTTATCTCCTGAATCATCAGACTCTTCGACCTTTGGTGCATCGGCGTCAGCTAAAATAGCATCTTCGTTTTCCTTTTGCTTTGGAATCTTCCTCCGGGGCCTCCTGGATCGACCGGACCTTTCATCATAACTGGGGGAGGAGCTATCATCATCGAGCGACGTTCTTCCTACATGCCGTGCGTCTCTGCGGGAGGACGAGCCGTTTGCTTCCGGATTTTTCTCTTCCCCGGAGGTCCTTGGTTTAGCGGGCGATCTCCTACGGAGTGGCAACATGGTTCGGCTTTCTACAGCATTCTTCTTGGCAGTGGTTTCCGGGTATTCCCTTAGGTATGTGGGATATGATGGAGCGTCGAACTTTGCAGGCTTGGCTGGTGGAACCGGAGGCGGAGTCCTGAACTTAAACCTGGAGGTGGTTTCGGGGTCCGATGATGGAGCGCTAGGTGGAAGGTTCTGAATTTCGGAGACTGTGGGAAAATTTAGCATTGGTCCGGAAACAGCTGCCTGCTGTTGTGGATCTGTTGACGGAAATGGATATTCAGGGCCGTCGCCAGTAGTATATGATTCACCTCGGGTTGTAGATTCTGTCGGGCTATTGCTCTTTGGCCGGCCGCTGACAAGTCTCCTGGAATGGCTGTTGTAATGAACTTCCTGGTTATCGGAACTTGGCCGTTCTGCCATGCCTTGTTTGCGACTATTATCCAGCGCAGTTGCGCTTGCAGCCACTCCTAGAGAATGTGTTTTGCCACCATCATCTTTAGGCGACGGCTTCTTTCGGAGAGCGTTCCATGCCAGAGTTGCCGCTTTGCTAGTCACAGTGTCATCAGTGGTACTGGAAGAAACCCGTGCCGGTTTAGTAGGACGCTTTTCTCCCTTGTTGAATCGTAGTGTGGTAAGCATGGCTCGCTCTTTCTGTGGACTTTTGCTCCTGGATGTCTTCCTGGATACTTTCTTTGCTGGAACTAAGTTGTCTGGCTCAAAAGAGGGCACTTGAGCCTGGGCAGCGTTTACGGCCGCATCGCTCGATATTGTCGTGCTTGACGAGTTACGTCCAACAACCGCGTGGTCGGATATATTCCTGGGAGGAACTGGTGGCCTTGGCCTTGGAGATGGTGTAGGGCGAGAGGGACGTGAGGGATCCGGATAGCTTATAGCAGGAATAGTGCCATCTCCAATAAATCCCCTAACGGGTGCTTCGGATTCGTTTGACGGGCGCGGAGTTATAGGGCTCTTGGAGAGCTTGTTCGCTGTGCTCGACTGCTGAGAGGATGACGCAACGCCCGCGCCTTCGTCCACCGACGCTTTATCTCCTCGTGAAATACTCAGAGCCTCCAGAAGTTCAACCCGCTCTTTGCATTGCATCTCCATATCCCTCAGGCTATCCTTCAATGCTTTCTCGGTTTCTGACCGCGGGCGGAGATCGGCAGGTGTTCGCGCGTTGAAGAAGTAAATCTGGTCGAGGGCTGACCGCCATGACCGCAAGGCCTCGCTTTCATTTCCCTAGTGATCATACGTTAGTAAATGTGAACTTCGATCAGTGAAGACCTGACATGGGCGGCAGGGCTGCCTTGCGCATACCTGACTCTCGAAGTACACTGCCGTTGAGCATATCAAGTAACACTCATCGTACGTCTTTTGCAGTGACGAGAAATTCTTATTCCGCATCATGGTTTCTCAGTTAACAGCCGGCACATCCCACAGGGTTGATGCCTGGCTAGTTCGCAGTATTGTTGTTCGTATGTTGGGGTTGACCGCAGTTGTGGCAGGGCTGATTGATGTTCATACAGGTGCAAAATGACGTCGGCGTCTGATACTGGGACCTGTGCTTGCCGCGCAAAACCAGAAATATTACAGTTACTGTTTCAAACTACAATCAAGACGATAAGGAAACTTTACAGTGCCATAATTCATCTAGTATACAAGATATATATTATGACGCTCATGGTAAAATACGAACAGGGTAGCACACATCAGCAGTGAGGCTGGCACAGTGGGAAATGCGGGGTGGCACTTGAGTTGCAAGTGCCACCACCCCGCATTTCCCACTGTCACCACAATCTACCATTCCGCATGCGCCAGACAGCTGTCGATCGCCTCCGTCACAACTACATACTGTATATATACCAAACAGAGGCGCTAATGAGCCGTTGTCAAACGTCACGGAGTATAGTCACTGCAGCCTTTGTTAAGGGAAACTGTTCCATGTCTCATGGTCCATATTTGAGCCACAGTATTATGCGGATTCCCGAAGTTAAGTTGCCAATATCCGAATTGATGCATCGGCTCCCCTCTCTACGTCAGTAGAACTCGAATCTCTCCGCTAGTTCGTGGGAACAAAGCCCGGAGTCCAAGTATCTCTTCACCGTCCTCTCCACCATCCTCCGACCTCTCTACAACACCATCGGCCTGGGTAATCCTCTCCTCCACCACCTCAAAGTCCTCGCAGAACCTATCGGCTGCCTCTTCAGTGATTTCCCGTGCTAGCCTCGAGCTCTGTAGCTGCCTCAGGTTATCCAATGCGTCCATGAGAGCGGACGGCAAGAAATCGTCCAGTATCTGGCTGGCATCCTTAAGAGCTTGTGGCTGGAAGGCCTCTGTGGATACGAGCTTCTTCAGGTCTGGCTCATTGCCCATGGATTGCAACGTGTCGACGAGACGCTGTAGCCCAGAGCTTTGCAAGAAAAAGGCATATTGATACTCAATAAGGTCAATTGAGTGCTGCTCCACTGTCTTTCCGAGCTCCTCAGCGCGGTCGGATGTGAATTGGTATGACTCTAGCGTCGTCTTGCAAGACAGGAAGCAGTTGATGATGAATATCGAATTTGTCGGCATTTCCATATCTTTTGCCATGGTCTCTATACCCCTGATGTATGGTTCAAAGGCATCGTCGAGAACTGTTTTGAAGTTTTCTTCTCGGCTCTTCGCGCTTGTAAAGGACGTGTCGTAGGTTTTCATAATCTCAGTAAGCTGTTTGAGCCCTTCTTGTAAGAAAATTGGCAGCCCCAAGTCTGCAGGTGGCTGCTGCGTTTCAGTCTGCAGGCTAGCAATATGGTCTCGCATGAGTACGCGGAAGTGGCGTAAGCCAAAGTCCTCCAGTCCTTGAAGTGTGCTTAGCAACGCAGAATCTTCGCCCAGAATTTTTGTCAACATGACCCGATAGAAGTTAACCAGATTCGAGATCTTGTAAACCAGAATTGTTTCGTCGTGGCTCTGTATAACTTGCTCGATCCGTTGCTTCAGCACACGTGCTACGCCAGCGACATCTCGGTCAACGAGATCATTCAGGGCCTTTTGGCCATCGAAAACAGTGTCTGCCTCCTCGTCCCGGATATATTTATTCCACGGTTCACTATCTCTACCGGCTTGAATGCCTTTGGCAATCTCATTGCCGTCGGAGATAAATAACACCTCAAGTGCTTCTCTTTCGCTTACAGTAGCAGAATGGGTCCATGCCAGCATATCACCAACATAGCGCAAGGGGTCATGTGCCACAAGCTCCAGAGGTTTCACTGTCTTATCTTCATCTCCGGTTACCGATAAACCAGTCAATGCCGTATAGAATGAATCTGACAGAATATTCTCCCTCGCTTCGGCGAAGAAATCAAGGCAATTCTGAAATAGTTTTGGCCTTTCCGCTAACACTCTCAGCGCCCTCCGAATGGAGGCGTTGATCTGGGGGTTCTCAAGATTGAGTGACTTGAACTCGCGCTGAATCCACCTATACAACTTCTGAAATGCGCCATTTAGGTTTGTCGTGGTTTGCTCCATAATCTCTAGGCCAAGCCTCTGGTTCTCGGAGCTCAAGAGGATCTCACAGTCCACCTGGATCTGTTTGGCGCGGTTAAGAACAATAAAGAACTCGTCATTAACCGGTTCCGCGGTAGAAGTTACAGTCGCAATGTCATCGTCAGACATGACAAAGTGGGTATTGAAAGCTTGAAGCAATTTCTGCTTCATTTCAACGTCCTTCTTGCGCGCCATCAGATCAGACGCCTCATCCAACACTGGGGCGGTTTCCTGGTGAGCAGCCGTAATGTGCCGGCGCATCTCTTCACACCCCTGGTTCAGACTTGCTATGCTCTGCCCGATGCGCCTGAGTTGCTATTAAGAATATGTCAGTTTTTCCCGTATATCGGAGGGGCTAAAATGTATGTAGTCCACACACCTCTGCGACATGGCCGAACTCCTTGATCACCAGCCCATTACTGTCAATGACATCCTTTTGGATATCGAGTCTCAGCTGACGTCTTGTCTCCACTGTATTCTCAACTCCTCTTTCATCAAGTAATTGCAAGGCATCTCTGATCTCGAGGTCTGCATACGATGCCGATAGGACACTGTTGACCTTCGACGACAGCGCATTGGAACGTATGGGCGTCTGGGCAGTACTAGACAGGGCGGGAGAAGCAGCACGGCCATCTACCGGCGATTGCCCCTTGGTCGGAAAATAACCAGCTGCCATCTCTCCGTAACTTATGATGCTTCCTAGTCACGGGATTCATGGAGTTCTTGGGAGATGGTTCAGGAGGTTGTCGGTGGTTGTCATTGGCTGCTTACAATAAAATGGTGACGCAGCGAGTATCTACAGACATTTGATCACGTGCGTGTAGAAACTAAGGCCAAATTATTCCGAATGTGGACGCTAGAGAAACGAACAGTGAGCTATTTTGCAATCCTGAATAGATTGTCATATTATATGACTCATTTATTTACCTTAATAGGCCACTTCAGAAGCTGCTCTGCTCCGAAATGATGCAGCATGGGACCCATACCCTACTAGGTACAGATTAGGAATAGACCAGTAGTATAGAATAGAGTAGCCATATTAGGCAATATAAAAACCATTGGATTGTGATATATACGCCTTCTACTCGTCATCAGTAACTGTTATAATACTGTAGCTGCTGTAATACTGTAACTATTCCCATATCCCCATCGACATGGTGAAAATCCAGGGTAGGTACTTACCCCAGATTCTTATTACCATACAAATTAGTGTAATGGTGGGTGCACCAGATGTGAGAATCTAGCCACCCAAGGAAGGGGTGATTTTACTAAGACAACACACTGTCTTAGGAAACAGAGCCAAAGGGTCGTAGCTTAGACTTATGCCACAATGCAGCAATCAGGTGTGTGATGTAGTGAAGTGGTTCAGACAAGTTGCAACAAATGTTGAGTCTGGGAACTCAGGGGTAAGTCAGAGGTTAACACCTCACTGACTTTTCAGAAACAAGGAGTAACAAGATGAATGCTTGGAAGCTTGGAAAAGACGTGGAAGTATGTGATAGTCGATTTACTGTATTGTCTGCTTGCCCTTTCTTAAGGAAAGGGCAATCCTATTTATGCTAAAGGAATGTAGTTCTCTCATTTTCCAAGACTTTCCATGACTTACCAGGCTTGGTAACTGTAGTCGACGTAAAAGAATCCCATAGAACCATCTCTTAGGTTCGTAGCCTATAGGAAGTAAAAGGAGGTTCAAGGTCAGAGTACCCCTATAGACAAATTATGTCATAACTTAACCAATCTTGTGGGTAACTAAAGAGCGATGACATGTAATGAATCATAGAGGTTCGTAGGAGCTTTTAGAGCTATCGTTCATTCTCCTAGGCCTCTAGTTGGTAGAGATATGTCATGTGGTAGTATGAGTGATGTCATGTAATGAATCATAGAGGGTTGTAGAGATATGCTATGTGGTAATATCGGCCCAGTGTCATGTGGTAGTATGAGTGATGTCATGTAATGAATCATAGAGGGTTATAGAGATATGCTATGTGGTAATATCAGCCCAGTAACTAAGGAGCGATGATGTGTAATGAATCATAGATGGTTGTAGCAATCGTTGAGTAGTATTACTCTTGTTGTTGGTGTGATAAGCCAAAATATGTATAGTGACTTGTAGGTTTGAGGAGGAGATTTCCAAGTTTGCTCTTGAGTTTGAAGCAAACTGAGTGCAACAAATGTCAGTATGACATTCTATTGTTTAGAAGTCAGCGTTACACTAGGATTCCAATTCGAAATCCTGTTTCATCTATATTCTATAAGTTGCATGGTTTGCAACTATGCTCTTGTGTCATACTGACATTCGTTGCACTCAGTTTGCTATCAAACTCAAGAGCAAACTTGGAAATCTCCTCCTCAAACCTACAAGTCACTATACATATTTTGGCTTATCACACCAACAACAAGAGCAATACTACTCAACGATTGCTACAACCATCTATGATTCATTACACATCATCGCTCCTTAGTTACTGAGCCGATATTACCACATAGCATATCTCTACAACCCTCTATGATTCATTACATGACATCACTCATACTACCACATGACATATCTCTACCAACTAGAGGCCTAGGAGCATGAACGATAGCTCTAAAAGCTCCTACGAACCTCTATGATTCATTACATGTCATCGCTCTTTAGTTACCCACAAGATTGGTTAAGTTATGACATGATTTGTCTATGACATAATTTGTCTATGACATAATTTGTCTATGACATAATTTGTCTATGACATAATTTGTCTATGACATAATTTGTCTATAGGGGTACTCTGACCTTGGACCTCCTTTTACTTCCTATAGGCTACGAACCTAAGAGATGGTTCTATGGGATTCTCTTACGTCAACTACAGTTACCAAGCCTGGTAAGTCATGGAAAGTCTTGGAAAATGAGAGAACTACACTCCTTTAGCATAAATAGGATTGCCCTTTCCTTAAGAAAGGGCAAACAGACAATACAGTAAATCGACTATCACATACTTCCACGTCTTTTCCAAGCTTCCAAGCATTGATCTTGTTACTCCTTGTTTCTGAAAAGTCAGTGAGGTGTTAACCTCTGACTTACCCCTGAGTTCCCAGACTCAACATTT